TCCGGGTGAAGAAGCTTGACGGTCGGTGCTAAGTTTCAAGGACGGCGGGATGACGGTTGTAGCTTCTTGAGAGGGGGCGCAGGGTGACTTTGTGTCCGGGCCGGCAGCGGTGACCTATACACTCCGTGCGACGCGACCGGCGCGCCGCCGCGCGGCCGGTACCGAAGGTAGGTCGTGAGAACCCCAGAGGAAACGAAACCGAAACCACGCCGCGTACATTGGTACGCACTGAAGTCGGAGTGGTGCGGTTGCGCTGGGTTCACAGCATGAAGTGCTGCCTGTGCTGCGTCATTAAGTGCTTCAATAGTTATGCGTCGTATCTCGCGGTGGCAAAGTTTCACAGGTTTTCACCTCGCCGATGTTTTGTGGGACAGCTACAACGATGGAGCCGTGCCGTACGGCGCGAGAAATTTGGTCTCCCGATCATGTCTGCCACTGTGTCGGCACGGCTGACATATTCTACACTGCCGCTTTGCGCTCTGCGTTTGTTTTCGTACCAGTAACGCCTACATGTGTCAGCGCCAATGGGACGAACTGAAATGCCATCCCACACTCGCGGGTATGCAGGAGGAATGCCCTCCAAAAAAGTTTCGTCCTCATCGTACGTGTCGATGATATTTCCGGACAAGTATATGGCACGCAATCTGTACTTCATGAAGAAAGATTCAAACGGTAAAAAAAGTGACAAATATGAATCTAAAGAAAACAACAATGAAACTCGGAATCACTGGAGAATCGACGTTTGTGTATGAAAGTTTATGTGGTGTGCTTTCTTTTTGGATCAGCCTCCTTTTGGATGTGGAAACGCTGACACCCCGAGTTCTGTAGACAACAATTTTTTTTCTCGGCTTTAGAGCCACCTATCGCAAAGTGGTTCGAACTGGAAGTACTGTCAACTGGTCCCTTCCTACCTGTAAAGTGTGCACCTCCCACAATGAGTGGTATTATCTGACAGCCTTTGACGGTCAAAGCCAGTTACCATTTAGTTACGCCGACCAAACCAAATTTCCTCCTGGTTTCGCTATGCCGACTCTTTTTGTTATAATAAGTGCCGTGCCAAGTGACGGTCATGTCAATGTACCTCTGCGCCGAAAATCAGCACCTTGCACAACAGGTTATTACACAACAGCTGACTGCAAAAGCCCTTGGCGGCCAAACCATGTGTTGGCCGACAACTTTGTTTTCTCGGCTTTGGAACCACCGTTCATAAAGTTGTTTCAATTGGAAGTACAGTCCACTAGTCCCTTCCTACCTTTAAAGTCTCCACCTCCCCCGACCAGTGGTATTCTCTTGACAGCCTTTTCATGGTCAAAACCAGTTCCCATTGAGTTACGCCGCCCAAACCAAATTTTCACCTGGTTTCCCAATGCCACCTTTTTCTTTTGTATAATAAGTGCTGTGTCATGTTACTGTCAAATCCAAGCACCTGTATGCCCAAATTTGCACTTTTCACAGCCCGCTATAACACAACATTTTGGGACCAATATTGGATATCCCGTACAGCTTTATTTCTTTATTCGTTTGAAACATAACTTTCCCACCTGTTGTCTTAAAGAAACTTGGCACTCTTCGTGCACAAACTTAGTGAACATCTCACTCGCCTCCAAATATTATCATTCCAGGAGTCCTAGGTTTACAGCGACGAGCGAAATAAATTTCCCACTCAGAGCAATTATGGTGGCGGCCGTCTTGTTTTTCGGAAAATTGCTCCAACTCCTTTTTCGGCCGCAACTAGAGAAATTACCCCTAATAACGACTCAAACTCAATATATAAGATGTAGAGAACAGCTAAATGCCCTTCTGCCCCAGCACTCATGCAACGTCACCCTCAACGTATCGGCTCAAAAAGCAAAAGTTTCGTCCGTGCGCGCTTCCGCCGCCACAGCTTGGCATGCAAAAAGACGCCGCAGGCTGCTGAACGCGCCTCGCAGTCGAACGCCAGCTCCTCCGCTAGCGGCGCTGCGCGCGTTTTTCAAAGCGCCCCCTATAGTTCCCGCACGGAGTGTATATAGACGATAGCGTACAATAGACGAAAGTTACACGCGCAAACTGAAGTGCTGTCTCAAAAAAAAAAAAAAAAAAAAAGAAAAGGCGGCACGGTCACTTGTGTGCATGCAGGCATGCATGAGTCAAACCTGGAAGGGAACAATGTTAAACCTAGAAGTAAAAAGAAATACAATGGATATCAGAACCTGGAAATAAAAGAGAAGTTGATGGTCCAGTTCCGGCCCCAAACACAGTACCACTGTTTCTTCTCAGTTTTATACCCACGCCTTCGGCCTCCCGCCACCATGCCCGTTATATATATATATATATATATATATATATATATATTAACGGGCGAAAGTAAAGAAGACAAACGGGGACATTGGGAGAAGGAGGACGAAGTTTGGACAGTAGGAAAAGGGCAACGGCTGGAACGCTCGAAACATTTTGGTGGCAGCGGTGGGGTGTTCAGCATGAACGACCGCTCCCAGCCTGCAAATCTGGAACCCAATAGGGAGAAACTCACTGAACAGCTTTACAATTGGTTGGCGGAGAAGAGCTTGACTGACGCTGCAAATATACTTACGCAGTTCGACGATCGCCTCGCCCCTCGCATTGCAAACGAGAGATTGGCGAGGAAGGCTTTGGTAAGGTGCTCTGAAGATACACTCCACGTGATGAGCACTTCTGCTTTCATTGATGCCATCAAGGATCCCGAAGTTCAGCGATATGTCACAGGACCGAGTTGCCTGCTTATTTTGAAGGGTCCGCAGTACCTTGGGAGCAATTTCTCGGATCGCTGCGGCCGTCTGAGGTGGCTTCGAAGAAGCACTAGATCTCCTGAATTCAACGATGGTCCAGAACTTCCAGTGCGCAGGCGCTGGGTGAAATGTGACTGCTTGTGAAGCATGGCGAGTCGAGCTCTTTCTCTTGCTTCGTGTAGTCGCCCAGAGAAATCGCATTCATAGTCCCGCGCGCGGCGGGTCCACGCCGTGTTCATCCCTGTCTCCTCTGGAAGCGTGGGAAGCCTTCCATACACCAGCTCAAGAGGCGATTGGCTCGTTGTTTCTTGACGGGATGTATTTAGTGCGAACGCAGCGGTGTCATATCTTGGTCCCAGTTCTTGTTGGATGAATGAACGAATGCAGCTAATATATCGCTCAAAGTACGGTTAGCGCGCTCTACCAATCCGTTTGTTTGGGGGTGGTAGGGTGAAGCCACTGCATGCTCAATCCCGTAGTTCCTAAGGACATCTTGAAATCACGAGTCATGAACGATGTTCCTCGGTCAGAAATGATCATTCGTGGAGTCCCATGCCGCAACACCAGATGGTTGTTCACAAAACTGACGAGGTGTGTCGCTGACGTGTCGGGAACTGCGTCTACCTCAACCCACTTCGTTAAGTTGTCTATGGCCACAATTATGTTCCTGTTGCCATCTTCTGATTTTGGGAATTGTCCCAGATAGTCTATACCGATTACTTCAAACGAACTTCTTGGGGGAGGTACTGCGGACCCTTCAAAATAAGCAGGCAACTCGGTCCTGTCACATATCACCTCGAGGAATTGCGAAATGAGGAAAACACCGGACTCTGACAGCTCATGTCAGTCAGCTCAAACTTTATGTGTCCCGCGATGACTACGTTGGTTCTGTCCAGGACGGACAGTCCCTTGGAGGGGGGCGATTGTAACGGGCGAAAGTGAAGAAGACAAACGGGGACATTAGGAGAAGGAGGACGAAGTACGGACAGTAGGAAAAGGACAACGGCTGGAACGCTCGTAACAATATATATATATATATATATATATATATATATATATATATATATATATATATATATATATATATATATATATAAGAACCCTTAGTGAAAACAGCAACAACGGACGATTTATTCTTCGACGTTTCGGCCGGAGTCCGGCCTTCTTCAGGAAGGCCGGACTCCGGCCAAAACGTCGACGATTAAATCGTCCGTTGTTGATGTTTTCACTAAGGGTACTTTTCTTCCTTTATACCCACGCCTTCGGCCCCCCGCCACCATGCCCGTGATATATATATATATATATGAGCATGTTGGCTTGGAGGCCGAAGGCGTATCAGCTAGAGATGCTTAGAAACGATGGAAAACAAATCAGGAGGATTTTATTTGACATTTGGACCTGAGACAGGTCTCTTGACGAAAACCTGGCTCAAGTCGAAACATCGAATAAAATCCTCCTGGTTTGTTTTCCACCATTACCCTGCCTCTTTTTCTCTCTCTTTTTTTCTTTCTCCCTCTCTTTATATATACCTCTTTCGTTGCTTGACACCACTTAGCTTCCAAAGTATTTCGCGGTATTTAAAAGCATCAGATATTTGAGTCACCAGGTTTATTCATGACTGCCAGAAACGATCCTTCGTAAACCATCATTAACCAGGTGAAATAATTTAATATCATAGAACTCAAGCATAAGGTGCAGTAATTTAATATCATAGAACTCAACCCGCAAGAATTTCACTTGATTTCATTGCAAACGTATATTGCATTAATCACTACAGCAGCCATTACAGAAAATAACCCCCTTTGCCGATAACCTAATTATTCATAAAAAAAAACTCACTATTTATCGACTATTCTTCTGCGCGTATTAAATTCTGACAGTGCTTGTCCACTAAAGCCTCTTTTCCTAATAAAGCGGAAGCAGAATAGGAAAAGACAAGACAAATCAAGACCTGTCTAGAAGGTGTAGTCGGAGCGCATAAAATATTAAACAGGACGGACATCTATGTCATTTGCATCATTAATCGCCACAAAAGTCGTGTTTTCGGTCTTAATTTTTTAGCAATAAAATTAATACAAGATTTATGCAAAAAAAAAAACAAAGTATGCTTTTGTTCATGTTAACGCTCTAGGGATAAAATGCATTGCATAGCTCGCGTTTTTGGCATAGCACACATGTTTGTTTGTTTTCATTTGTATGTTCAAAAAAGGACATAAAACACAATTTTGCTGATGTTTTCAATAATCATTTTAGGGTACTCGCGAGACAGTGAAAACAGCGAAATCAAGAAGTTATTTAAGGAAAAGTTTGGTAATTGGCCGAAGAAGGTTGACCCTAAATCCAAACCTGCTGAATCTACAAGACTTCTGAAGGACGTCGGTTTCCTTGGCCTTCTTGGAATAACTGTGGATATCAATGTGAATGATAATAGTAAATACGCTGTAGTTGTAAGTATGTTTTTACTATAAAACCGAGTATGTATGAGTTCATTAAAGGGATACTATAAAATGAAAAAAAAAACGTTTTTCGAAACGGCCTGATAAGGCACGTTTTCTTCACAAAAAGAAACGTTGGGCCATATTTACGCTTTTAGACGTTTTTTAGTTGGAGGTCACGGTCCTCTCTAAGTCCCGCCCACAGATCAGTGGCCCCGCCATTACTACTGGAGCGGCTTGGTTTTTTGATCGAACATAATCGCAAACCTAATGTATCTCTGTCACGTCGACCGCTGCGTTTAATTTGGTGTCTGACACCACCTGGTAGTCGTGCGAGCAGACGCGCGGAAGCCTGCGGCATCGTCCGCTATTCTACTAGCCTTTACCACCGTCTTCAACGCCCGTACGACACGGTCATCCAAGCGGCACGTCCGCGTCCGCCATCGCTTTCGTCCGTCTGCTATCCCGCTCCTGTCTAAAACTGTCTGCAACGCATTGAAGACACGACCACGAAACCGGCTTATAGCAGTCCATCATGTACAAGCCATGGTCCAATACAATCGTCTGCCAGCATCTGAGGATGTGCGATAAAAAACGACCTAAAGAACTAAAATATTGCTCAAGTAAGTCTGCAATTCGTTCCGTTTTGATGATCTTTCTTTTTTTTCTGTTTTTCATTGCTTCCACAAGCAATTTGGGTGGGCGTCATAACGCACAATTAAAATGTGGCCTAAGCAGATTCACTCTAGTAAGCCATATGACTGCACAAAACTTGAGAGCTACAGGCCTTCCGCAGCGAAATGTCGAAAACAGAACTGGACAAACCTGTCGCGAGACAAACATTCGACTGCTTCAAGAAAAAGGGCTCACAGATCCTTACCTGTGTAGGTTACCTCTCGGTACTTAAACCATGTTAGCAATCAAGACGGTTGCACGGTTCTCAGAGTAGGAGGGCCGCTTTTACGAGAACGGACGCATTTAATCGGCATCAAAGTGCTCAAACGAGCAACTCAAGTCAGATCGAGCAAAATGGTGAACGTGGGACGCAGGCTTAAAGGGGGAGTGCAACGATTTCCGAACTTCAATAAAAAATTTGTGGAAGTCACCCTCTGACACTTCTGGTGCCCGAAACTCGTCAAACACAAAGTTGGAGCGGAAAGTTCGCGGAGCGCGCCGATTGGACTCCGGCGAAAAAAGCGCGAAGTCATCGTCGTGACAGGCCAATCAGTGCGCTCCGTCAAGCCAGTCCGGCCATGACAACAAGCTCTAGCACAGCGCTTCCGAAGGCGTGTACGTGCGACAGTCGTTTACGGCAAACTACGTTGGTTGAGATCCTTCTTTGAATATATCGGTGAACGCGAAACGACTCGCTCTCATAAAACTAGACAAACTCATCAAGTCACCCGGTGTGAAAAACTTCTCGCCGCAGACGCCAGCAGCCATGTTTGTTCTTTGAACAAGAACTAGAAAGGACGATCTAATCATATTTTTAAAGACTATCACTCTATCTATAGAGGGTGTTTCTCAAACACAAAAAAAAATGCCAAATAAAAGACTTCTGCGGAACGGCGAAACTATTTTTCAATAAACATTGCCCACATCAATTATCTCTATATGCAGTGAGAGCCAAGAAACGGAGCTCAGCTACCTAAGCACCTGCTGTTATGGGCTGGCAGTAGATAAGGGCTACCTCCACATAATGTGTGTCTAACGGCGCAAATATTGAGGCAAACATCTTTTTTTCGTTTATAGCATTTTATTAAAATTTTATTTTTAAATCCGAATTTTTATTTCAGTGTTTCTTTAAGTTATGATAATAATTGTTTCTAATCAATAGTATAAATTCGCTTTTGTTTTGTCCGATTAACTTAATACTCTTAATGATTTCACGCTTCCAGTTCTTTAGAAATGTTTGCTCTAATTTACTGAAATCACTACAGGGTATGATGCTCTAAAATGGTGTTTCCAAAATATAAAAGATTAGTTTACGACACTGATCATATTTCCAACAATGGCTAAGGGTAGACGAAAGTTAACCTACAGATACGTTTATACTCAATCAGCCATATTAACCAGTCGTGACAAACTAGCGCTCTTCTAAAGTTAGTAGCACGTCTACGTAGTCGCGTGCTAAACGAAGAACCGGCGACTAAGGAGTAACTGGCAGTGACTACTAGGCCCTGCGATGTTCACGAGCGCGAAGTGGGTTACCATCTATTCGGGACGAACAAGCCGAAGTGGCATAAAAAGATGGGTCATCCAACCACGCACTTTGACTCCACTCCATGAATTGGGACTTCATCACGTAAAAACTAATAGTTAAATATCTATTAGCAAAATAAAATGGCATAACGAGAGGCTAATGGCCTGGGATAGTGTTTTCCAAACGAAGTAAAAAACAAATGAAGGGAGAAAACACGGAAGCCGCATAGCCAGCGACATGCGCAAATATAGAAGCGCTGTTCATGCAGGCTCTCTGGTCGTCCAGCGCCTTTCCGAGTTCGCTTTAGCGCTTTCTCTGCCGTTCCGAAACTTTCTGGATGTGTCCCGCAGGGTTGCAGGGCGGTAAGCATTTCATTAGCGTTGGCGGACAGGGTTAATAGCAGTCGGCCGTGGCGCCGAACCGCTAGTCACCCGTTAAACACCGGCTAAACTTGCCTTACCCACGATTAAGATATTTCAGTCGCTTTCTAAGTCGCTCTCGGCGACTTATGCCTAAACAAAGTCGGTTAATACCGAGTGCTTACTTAGGTGTGGTTAGCAGCTGCCACGTTATCATCTTAATCGATGACGTTGCTATTCAGCAATTAAACAGAGGCGTCTGGTGAATACGGCTGAATACGGCTGAATACGGCTAAATTATCTCCAAATAGAAGCTGTGGCACAAATATAAAAATAACTTTACTTATGATATTTCAAAAGCCTGAGTGGCAAGGAATAAGTTTCCCACGGACTGATTACATGAATTTCACTGAACTCCCAGTAAACAAAAGGCTGTATCATAAGACCGAAAGTGAACTCCTTCGTTTGCTTTTTTTTTTACAATTTTTACAGTGATAACACATATATCTTGTCGGCATAGAAACGAATAAAGATCGTCTTCGGGCGCGCGGGGCTAGCCGGTGCTCGGGGATGAGCACGTGGGAAGAAAGAGCCTGGACGCCATCGAAGACGGTTCTTGCTTCTTGGATACCCACACTCAACACATTTAGACAGAAGATCCAATTCCAAAACTTAAGTTTTTTTGTAGAACAAGATGCAGCTTTAAGGATTCTATTGCTTCATCTGCTGGTATTGAGATTTATAAATGAAACATTCATTGTTAGATGCATTGATTTCAGTAGATCCCGAAGAAAGATTGGTGTGTGCAGAGTAACTTAGACGCTTAATAATTCGATTGAATATTAGTGTCTCACAATACCACTTTTCTCCTGCATTAATTTTACAAACTAGCACCCGTTGAGTAATGTGTCTGAACGCATTTTTAGCTTCAACTGTTCCTCAGTAATGCCACTTATGAGCTCACATTATTCTTTCTTATTACTTTGAATCAAAAAAGAAGAATTAGGGCAACCTAAAACCTATCAAAATTTTTGATTGTCGTTATAGAACTCGTGCAAAAGGCGCCAAGCTAGCGTTAGGAAAATGCGGATGATCATCTAAACATCCCCGTTTTCTCTACCGCTAGCTTTGCGCCTGCAGCACGAGTAGCTTTAAAGCACAAACCGCGCTTGCCAAGTGCTTGAAATCTTTATTCGTTTTACTGATATAATGGTTTTCAATGAAGTTCAGCAAGTTTCTAATTGGAACCATATGTTTTCTCAGTAATCTAAAAATGTAATTAGGAAGTCCTAATTAGTTGTCCGGCTTACTGTGAGGATTATTCCCCTGTATTATGCCGCCCCCCTGGCCGTATAAGTCACATGCAAACAGCCCACTATTGTACCTTTTACGAATATTTTCTATTAAATATGATCGAATTAATATAAAACAGCATGCATATCAAAAACGTGAGGGAACACAGGGCAGGGCCTTGTGGTACAGCGGAGTTAGAGAAAGATGAAGAGTCATTATCTTTTACGGCTAAGCATTGTAATCGGTTAGTTAAGCAGTTATCTTTCCAAAAGAAAATAGTAGGGTCAATATTAAGAGCGCCAAGCTTATATATTTAAAGTTCAAGAGATATTTTGGCGAACACCTTTGAGAAGTTCAAAAAGGTGCAGTCAGTCTGATATCTCCCATCAATGGCAGAATGGATGTTATTAATAAAAACTGAGCGTTGTCTATTTCACGACAATGATTTCCAGAATCTTTGCTGGTCAGAACTAAAAGAACGTGGACTTTAAGAAGTGTGATACATCTTTTTAAATATTATGCCCCATGATTTCAAAGATTGACCTATTATTTGTGCGGAAAATGGACATCGGATTTGCAGATCAGGACTTCATTATTTTTTAGTCATTTTGTATAGGACAATAATTGAGAATTGTTGCAGCAAGGGCAACATTTAAAAAAAACAATTTGAGTGTTTTCAAACAATTGCGTTTTATATCGTCACCTCCCAAGGCCAAAAATATAGAGATCTGTTGTCTTAATAATACCGCCGGCGTTAAAGGCACTGAAAACATAGTGAAAAACTTTGAATGAGGAAATACAAATGAACTGGCGTTTAGCAGATTACTAAAGGGGTTACGAAAACTTTCATTTAGCAAAATTGCACAATCGTTGGAGAACAATGGTTCTCCTTCGGTATTTTTTTTTCATTGTGTTTATGAGTACTTTAACGATTGATAATGCTCGAGAACTGCTTTGGGTTGGCCGTACGTATCAATTTTTCTTCTGAGTTGAAAAAAAATTTTCTAAGAAACATTGATAACCATTTTGTCTTGATCAGCTCCAAACAATTATCCTGTCCAGCGATTTAGGACATCAGGTCATCCATTCTCTAGGTTCTTTAAACAAGCGCTTTTTTAATAGACGACAGTATTAGAGCAGCGTTAGACCACTATAAT